ATCTTTTTCTGCTATAATCTTTTATTTCCAACTGTAGCAGGGAAAAAGGAGTGGTGGTTCGTTGTTCTGTTATAGTATTGAGCACTTTAGGAAAGGAAGTTCAAAGTAGAATTATTACTGGGATGAAATTCATTAGGATAATAGTAGAGACATGCATTTAATCCCATAAAATGATGATAATTTATTTGTGTCATCAAGGAACTTAAAACCTTTTATTTTCTGTGACGTTATTTTCGGATTGGTTATGGTAGTTTCATTTCTAACATAGCCCTATAGTGTATTTTGAGGAGGTGCTTGGCTGTGCCGGTAGTAGACCATGAAGGATCTGTGTTGCCATTTTGAGCAATGAATCTGGTCGCTATGCCTACTATTATTGATTTTTTCATCTCTTGTTTTGGATTTAATTCCTTGTTATGTTGGTCTTCATCTTATTCATGTTCATTTATTCTTTCAAGTTTTGGCATTTCATTTTTTCAAGGAAGAATAAACTTCAGAATCTGTAGCTTCTATGCGTCCCTTGCTTTTGCCCCTTTTCTCCCTTGTCATGATGTTTTTAACTCATGATTATTAATAAAATAATATTGTTGTGACCTTGATGCCGTTGTGCATCCTTTTCCTTTTTGCTCCTCTTCTCATTTATCATGTTGCTTTTATCTCTCATGCTTAGGTTCCGAGAGAGTCACTGTTGTTTGTTATCCCTGCTTTTGGTGGTATCGTTTCTTGGGATGGAGAAGGGGCACCATTTAAAGAGACTGACCAGAGTATTACTCATCAGGTAAGGTTACAAAATTGAAATTTAAATAGCAATGAACCTAGTCTCAAAACAGTTATTGTTATCTTGCTTTAACATGTGTCTTTGAAACTGTATATGTGATATATAGTTCTCCATTTGTTTTCAGCTATAAATAATCTTTTCTGTTTTTAATTTCAAAATCTTCTATTAAATGATGTATTTTACTCATCTGCTCAAAGCCTTCCTTTAATGTTTTCACGTGTAGAAAAGTAACTTCACATTTTCTGGTTTCTTCCATCTCTTCCTCATATTGTAGAATTTACAAAAAAGAAAAACGTTACCATTTGATAATAACATAGTTTGGACTTGTGCTTCCAAAGCCAGTGCTGTGGTTCTGCTTGGCACACTTCATAGTAGGAAAACATTGACATAGCAAAAATGTATTAAGTTGCATTTTATGGTCATTCAAATGGGTCCAAAGTGAGATGATGATGATGATGTGCGTGTGTATACATGCATGTATATTATATCTGTATGAGGTGCTTCTACTCTCTTGGAGCATTGTTTTTGAGAGCGCGAAGCGCAAAAAAGCGACAGGGGCTCGCCTCGCTTCAAAAGCGAAGCGCACACTTCATTGAAGTGAAGCGCAATTGTGAAAATATATATAATATATATAATAATTAATTTACAAACTGAAATACACATTAAAAAAATCAAATAAACTAATATATATATATAAAATTAATCAAATAAACTTAAAATATAACATATATAAAATAATTAATTTTTTAAACTGAAATACACATTAAAAAATCAAATAAACTGAAAGATATAACACATATTTAATAAGTAATTTTATAAACTAAAATACATATTAAAATTAAGAAGAATAAAAGGGAGGGAAAAAAGAAAACCAACGCCTGCCCTAGCTATGCAGACGCTGGAGGAGAAAAAGTGAAAAAGAGAAGGGAAGAAGAAGGAAGGAAGAAAGAAGGAAAAAGAAAGAAATAAAGAGCAGAATCTGGAAGGGAACAAGAAGAAGAAAGAAAGAAGAAAGAAAGAAAGAAAAAAATGAGAAGAAGAAAGGAGAAGAAACTTACCTGGAAACCCTAGTTTTGTCGATGAAGAAGAGAGAAGAGGTCTCTGTTTTGTCAAGCAATTACAGAAGCGAGGTTAGGGGTCTGTTTTGTATAATTTACAAACAGACCCAATCTTTTTTTTTTTAAAAAAAAGGGCCCAGCTGCGATTTTTTAAAAGAAGCGATCGCTTCGTCGCCTCGTCGCCTCGTCGCTTTTTTCACTGAAGCGTGCGCTTCACACGATCGCATCGCCTCAAGCAGTAAAAAGCGATACCCTGTCGCTTCGCATCGCTTCGCGCTTAAAGCGACGAAGCGATCGCTTTTCCAAACACTGTCTTGGAGAGTGAAGATGCCACTGGGACCTAGGTGGAGTGGTGAAAGAAAGAGAAGGGGAAGTAACGAGTAGAGGAATAAGTCCACTCATTAGGCACACGACCTGCTTGCGTCTTATGTCGTGGTCGCGACGCCTTATAAAGCTTGCTAAGCCTCGCTTCCCTCTCCCCTTCACTTATTAAGTGAAAAGAAGTTGTCGGCATATACTATGTATGTATATTTGACACTTTATTAGTAGTGCCCAAAATGGACATTGAAGAAGTGCTAGTGCAATAAACTTTTAACCTCTTCCGTTTAGGATAAATTCTAATAGTACCTAGTGTATACTCAGTTCGCCATGTGCTGGTTTATCTGGCAGTGTAAATACAGTTTATAAGAAATAATTGTTTGTTAAAGTATTAGTTAGTAAAGTTTATTGTGTATTTAATATCGAAATCTAGTTGATTGATTGAAGTACTAGACTGAAATAAAACATTTGTGGTCATTTTTGAGATTTTAATTGTATATTGGACTTCCTATTTCACCTTCTTGCTGTATTTTGGTTTTATATGAGAAAAATTAAACCCAGCATGTGTCAAGCTCAATTTTACTATACCCGGTATTATAGCTGCTAATAGGTTACATGAAGCTGCACTATTACATGCTGCTTTTCTCTTTGTATATTCTGCATCATTTTTTAAAACAAAATTGATAGGTATTATTAACCATATGAAAAAAGTTGGTACGAAGACATTTTATTATTTATCACAGCTTCTTGAATAAAATGAGACTAGTTAGTGTGGTTAGGATGTTCCTGATCAAAAGTGTGGTTAGGATGTCCTGCATCTAAATGTTAGGGGAAGACATACAATTTCGTAATATCTAGTGTTAGTCATGTAAATTTTGTGCTTAGGGCAGGTGTTCTTTCAGATATTGTGGATTATTCTTTTAGTTTTACGTTCCTCGTGAAATATGTTCTTGCATTCATGTTCATATCATCGTATGCTTGTGCAGATTGTTGACCGCCCCACTCAGGGCCACAAATTCCTTTCCCGAGAATATGTCCAGCCACAGTGGATTTATGATTGTATTAATGCACGCATCCTTTTACCAGTTGATGAATATGTTGTGGGAAGGTAAGCTTTAAGATAGTGTGGATTTGCCTTAGGGTTCTATTATTTATTTGCTAGCAATAAAAGTAAACTAAATATTGTAATGGATGTATAACATTGTCAACAGGATTCCTCCACCACACTTGTCACCTTTTGTTGATAATGAGGCCGAAGGATATGTTCCTGAATATGCAGAGACCATCAAGCGTCTACAGGCAGCTGCAAGACAAGAAGTGCTTCCAATGCCAGGGGTGGGCAAAGAGGATTTGGATGACCCTCAAAATTTACTTGTGGAAGGCGTCATTGACCGTGCTGAAGCTATTGAAGCTGCCGAGAAAAAGCGCAAGGTACAATTTAGATGAGGGATGAAGAAGAAGATAAGTGGTTTGATTTGCCATTTAAAATAAAAATGATTATCCCTGGTATTGTAATGAAAAACTCTGGAGCTGCATTTGCTTGAAATGCGAACTAATTTTCATGTTGCCTCACCTAGAAGAGCAGTGCCATTTTACATTTGCTTAGTGTTGTTTTAATTCTAGATACCTATATCTAAAAGCTTTCAGCTGATTTTTCATTTCTGCTTTAGTGCTACACATTTTCTCCAGCCTAACAGAATTTGGTTGGTGCAGATGTCAATTCTTCAGAAGCAGTATCATGATGAACTGAAAAAAGAACTTGGAAGTACCCAAATTTCTGCTGATTCAGATGCGAACAAGGGTACTGGAGGAGATTCTCTTCCAGATATAAGTCAAATTTCCAAGGACGCAGACAGCATGTCCGATATTCTCATGCCTCGTAAAAAGAGGAAGCTACTAGATGCTATGAAGGTAATGTTTTCTTTGCTCTCATAGTTTCACGCACTGTTATTTTTACTTTAGCATGGTTGATCTATTCAGGTACTGCGGTGTAGGTTTACTTAAAACATTCATGAAAGAAGAAATGCCATGTGAAAATGGTATTTATGCCTCATTTAGGTTAAGGCTGTCTACAATAGACCCTTGTGGTCCGGCCCTTCAACGGACCCCTGCATTGCGGGAGCTTAGTGCACCGGGCTGCCCTTTTTAATGGAATAGTGTCTTACGTGTTATGTGGTCCAAACAATGTTACCTCAGCCACATCTTGTAACTTGCTATTTGTACATTTTATATTGCCACATCTTAGAATGTGCTCGCCCTTTTGTGCATTATGAAGGTTTCTTTGTCTTGATTCATGTATATGACGATCTTGCAGAGGGGCAAAGAGAAGAAACAAGCTAATGTTGACCGTTTGAAGCAGAGGAACAGAATGATTAAAGAAGGAAAAATATCAGAGAAATAAGGAAGCAGTTAATTATGCCTGTCGTTTAAAGTTATTTTCACTGTGCTGTAGCCTTTCTTATGCTTTTCTTTTGGACTGGTAATTCTATAATCTTGTATATTAGTTTATGTACTGCCAATCGGCTAAAATTTTGCTGTCATGGGTATGTTTACTTTTAGTATTGTATGTCTTAATTGATTATTTACTCAGCGGGTTAATACATACTTTTTTCCTAGACTTGCAAAGTACTCTTAATTTGTATTGTAATAGCCTAGCATGCTAGTGATATTGTCCGCTCTGGGCTTAGGCACTCACGGGTTTAAAACGCGTCACTAGGGTCTAAGGTTTGTTAACTTATATATCCATCATCCCTCTTGTGTTTTGTCGATGTGGGATTGTCTGAAGTCTGGAGTATTACATGTAAAGTTTGATATTTCACCGCCTACTAATGTAGGCTTATCCCCCACTTTCACTCTTCCCTTAGCCGGCCTATCGTATCGTCTTGCTTCGTCTTAGAAGGTACAGCTTCCGCCTCTTTAGGCATGAGACCTCGTATACTGGAATATGGATCTCTTTATATGGTTGTTGACCTAAAAGCTTCCTCAAAAGATTTCTAAATAGACGAAATGGATAAAGAAGTTTGGTCTTCTATTCATATTTTCAACAACTAGTTTTAGTGTATGTGCGTTGCACGTGTGTTTTGCGTCAATCAGTATAAAATATATACAAGAAAAATAAATTATTGTATACAATGAAACAATATCTTCTTAACATACGAAGATGATGAATTTAGTTGAATTAGTTATATAATATTTGAAATTATAATATCTTGCGAAATAAGATATAAATATGTCATGTTGTTGTATCTCGTCTAACATCTCTTTGAATACAAGTAATACAAATTTTGACTATCAGTAGACCAATGATAGTATTATATTACCTTAGAATTTGTCAAAATGGTTATTTCATCAAAATATTATAAACCTTAACTATTGGATATATATTTCTTGAAATTCTAATTTACTAAATAATAATATTTTCATAAAACTCCAGTCACTAATTAGGTCAGTCTTGACTCTTGAGGAAGCTGTTCTTTAAACAAATTTTCTTGCATCTTCGTCTAATGATATTAATTAAGTAGTTATTATTTTTCTTAAGATTTTAAAAGCTTGAAAAATTAAATAATAACTTAAATTTTTGAAAAGGAGATCTAGTGCATTCCTAAGATCACCCTACAAGGAAATAATAATATTATTTATTAATTATCAAATAATGAATACAAAAAATAATGAAGCTTTCAAATTAATGGTAACTTTTTCGCAATTAATGTATCATCAAGAGTCTAACACAAATATTTTATGTAGAAAAATGAAGGTAAGCTACTTTTTATAATAAAAGAGATTAAAAATTTAAAAACTTGTTCAACTTAAAAAAAAAGTGGTATATGGTAGAGAATTATATATTTAAAGATTGATTTTTCTAATTTAGAGGAAGGTTTAGTAAACAATATTTATTATGACTATAGATTATAAGTAAGTATAATCAGTTTTTCATTTTTATGAAGAATAATAAATAGAATCTAATTTAATTTGTCAAGATTCTAAAATAAATATTTTAGGTGGGAAATAAATTAAAGTTTTTTTTATATAACAAAGAGACTAAAAGTTTTAAAACATGTTATGCCTTTTCTTTTCTCGGGTTGAGTCATTTTTCCCCTTGATATCTATATGTCTATTTTTTACATGGTGATAAATTTTTTTTTTTAACCAAGGTACATAATATTAGTTCATTAAGACTCAGAACCTTCCAACTTTGTATCAAAATTAAAAGACAACAGAAGCAATTATCTTTTCTTAAAAGATATGGCGTTGGTAAATAAAATATGGTTATATGGCATTGATAAATAGAAAATATGGTACTTGGATGTATTTTCGTTAGACAATTAAATCTACGTATAATGGTTGTTTTTAAATTCTTAAGATTTTTAGTTAATTTAAAGGTCCTAAATCTTAGGGAGATATTAAATGACTTTTTTTTTTTTTTTTAATCTAGTGTGAGCTTTAATTTTAAAAGGGTAAAAAAGACAAAACACATTTCGCTAAGAGCCTTCGTGCTTTTAATATAGTATGGATTTTTACGTGTAAGATTTGTATACAATAAAATCTTAATATTTTTAAAGGTTTTGGACTTTTTACATAATTTAAATAAGAAAAAAATTAATAAGTAAAATTTTAATTAATTTTAAACTCATAAACGTAGATTTGTATAAAGTAAACTCTTAACAGTTTTAAAGTTCTAAATGGTAGAACTTTCTGCATAAGTCAAATAAGAAAGATTTTAATGCGTAAAATTTTAATTCATTTAAATTGTTAAATATTAAAAAAATAATTAATTGATTATTCAATAAATCATTACTTGTAGTACTTGACACACAAAAAGCCGTTAGTTTAAGTTCCAATCTTCTATTCTAGGTAAATATTAATTCATTGTAGAAATGTATCTGATGTTAATGAAGGGATAGGGGAGAAAACGTGGTGAACGTATGTTAAGTTGGTGTTTTTTTTTTTTTTTTTTTTTTTTGAAGTGATTGATATAAGGTAAAAGTTTAATTGATTTTAAAGTTCTAAATATTAGGACTTTCTACCTAGCTTAAATAAGGAAGGATTTAATACACAAAATATAATAATTAATTTTCAAGTCCTAAATATTAGGAAAATGATTTAAATGACTATTTTGTTTAGTACAAAACTAATTCTTAAAGGGTAAAAAGGCGAACGACATTTCGATAAGGGCCTTCGTGCTTTTAATATAACTAGTCTCTATTTCACGTGCCTCGCACGTGGGGCCTTATAACTAAAAAGAGAACGATAAAATAATTAACCAACATAACTTGAACCTTAATAGATAGTATGAGGATGTTTGTTACTTGGATTTTAATTCTTTATATATGTCCTAATATCTTTTTACGACATGACTTAAAAGAAAGATTTACAAAAAAAACTATCATGATTGTAGGACTTAATTTTTTTTGTACTATTGTAAATTCATGGCAAAATGCAGACCATTCCTTTTCTAATTGAGGCGTTTTTCCCTTTCATTTAAGGATTCTTTAGCCAAAAATTTTACCTTCACATGCAATACTTATATATTTTTTTTTAATCATGTTCATCGAAAGTTCAAAAGAATTTACGCTTTCATTTGAGTCATTTAATTATATTCTTAATATTTAAAACTTTGACATTAACTAAAACTTTAAAGACCAAATCTCTCTCGATTTGAATTAGTATTATCATAAAATTCTGACGAATTAAATGTTTAGAACTTTGATGTTAACGAAAATTTTGAAGACTAAATCTCTCTTTATTTGAATTATATTTTATCATAAAATTCTAACCAATTAATGTTATTTACTTAATTATCTTAGAAAAAAAA